ATAAAACAAAAAAAAAAAACTCTTGATAGATTGTGCTTCGTGAAAAATTCGAACAACAGAAGTAGAAAAAAATATTGTGAAATATTGTGCACCAAGTTCATCGAAAAAAAAGAATATGATGCGCGATCATAACGCAAAAAAGGAAAGTGATCTTTTGTGAAACGAATATATGAAACGATAATTTATATATGTGTTAGTTTTTAGGTGTACTACATTAAAAGACTATAACACAAGAATGCTTAAAATATGTTAAGCATTGTAATGATTATTATTATTATTTATGAATATTTTACTATTGTCGAGATACGTATGATGTTTAAAAGGTAATGCGAACAATGTGAAAGTTCAAATAAAAATAAACTTTAAAGATAATTAATCCGTCTTTTTTATATTGTCCAAACTATAATTAATTTCAATTTATAAAAATTAAACAAATTTTTTATATAAAAAATGTAATAAATAACAAAAATGTAAGAAATAGAAATATTATTTCTTATTACAAATTTTTAAATAAAGATATAATATGCTTATATATAGAGTAATAAAAAATAGGTTATCACAATTTATTGATTTAGAATTCTTTATTAACAAAATATTTGATTTTCTTATATACATTTATAGATAATTTGTGTTAAACTATTATAAAATCGTTAATCATTAAATGCGTTTACATCTTTCAAAATAACATCATCATAAAAATTTATGCAACAAATAACAAACTAATAATTGTGTATCGAATCAAAACTTTGAAAATAATTGTTTTGATTCAAGCGCATTTTTATTTGCACTGACAATATATATGATACATAAATGTTTTAATTTAAATAATTTATATGCAAATTTTATTAAATAATAAATGTTATCTTTAATAATGAATTATTTAAAAAGCAATAATTCTTAAAACGAATTCTTCTTATTTCTAAATTGCAAATTAAATTATTTCATGGAATATAAATAGAATTTATAATTTATATATTAAGAATCACCAACGGTTTATATATATATATATATCAACTAAACTTCTTTGATATAAATTATAAATAAATATACATCTTTGATCAATCTAATCTTTCTATTTCATTTTCTGATTTCGTATAAAAAATATATGACGGTAACACGCAATATACAATTTAAAAATAATTATGTACACAGTAGAATCTTATAAATTTTACTTTTACATAGATAAGTGGCACGTTATCCCCGAAAAGAGAGATTTATTATCTTCTTTTTAATTATCCCACACATTATTAAAATTTCCTTTATATCTAAATCAAATAAAGATTTAGTCAAATAAAGATTTGACTCATTATCTAAGACTTAAATTATAGATTATTATTTTGGTATATATTATACTGATTAGATTATCATCATAATGTTAAAAAAAGATAATAAAAAGCACCGACATGATAAAGTGACATAAATAAATATCATAAAAAGAGCTACAAGTGAGATTCAAATCTTGAATGTTTGTCATTTTAAATATCAATTTGATTTAATTTACAAAGGAACCTTTTCATACAGATTAATTCAATTTAATTTTTAAAAGTGATATCACTTTGAGTAAAAAATATAAAATATCTCGTTAGATTTCCATCAAAATCTAAATGTGTTTGAAAATTTGTAATTCTTGGTCTTTTATATTTAAGAAAAAAATTTGAGTCAATGATAAAAATTTATATCAAAGTTCCTTCTTTGTCTAGAATATCTTCTGAAATGAAATTGTAATTATGCAATTCTATATATTTGGAATCTCTGCAGAAAATAAAGGCGCATCTGAAGCCGTGAATGTGGGTGATTTTCCTTCTCTTGCAATGCGTAATGCTTGATGAACAGAAACAGTATCCAGTTCCTTCTGATTTGGTTTTTCATTATCTAAACAAATATCTGCTGCTCTTTTTCCAAATGGTTCTAATACTTTTACTCTATAATCGACAATTGTTGACACTGGATTGCCAGTTAATCTTAAATTTTCTAAACAAGGTAGATGACCAATATTCTTTACCTCTTCGATCTTTTCGATACGATTGCAACTTACGTCTAGACCTTCTAATGAATACAATTTCGAGAAACTCGATAATGAAGTTAATTTGTTTTGGGATAAATCGATATATACGATATAACCAAGTTTCGTATGCAAATCATCGGGTAGAGTTGTGAAATTATTTGATGCTAAATACAATTGAGACAATCTTGGTAATAGAGTGATGTTAGAAATTTCAGAGAGTAAATTATTATTTAATGTTAAGCATTCTATTTGTGGTAATAATTTAATTGCTTCATCTATAACTTCTATTCGATTATCACTAAGATCTAGATGAGTGACTTTAAACCAAACATGGGAATCGTTCGCATTTTCAATTGTTTTATGTACTTCTTCGCACATTGCTAATTCAACGATATTTCTAAGTTTTGTATTGTTCACTTTTAAATATTTCACCGTATCTCGAAGATTGCCCATATGATATATCTTATCCATTGGATATTGATTAATGGTTAGATTTTCTATGTTTTTGAAACTTGTTAATTCAATGGATAATGCTGATGAATAAATATTGCTGGTTTTATAAGGTTCTGAACTTCCTTCAATGATAAGACCAGTTAAATGAGAATTGAAATCCAAGACATGACTGAAATCATATTTTTTGTCAACCACTTCGATTGGTGGACAAGGTTGTTTTAATCTCTCACTGATTGCATATAGCTGCAAAAAAATTATTATATTTCATTTGTACATATAAAATAGATATTATTACAAGAATGTAAGAATAATTTAAATATATAATCACCTGAACTGGATTAAATTTGTGACTCTTGGACTTTTGCAATAAACTATTCCCTTCTATAAAAAATTCTAAAGCCATACTCTGTAGTAGAAAAAATATATCATATATATGCATATCAAGAAATACAGCTAATTCTCTGGGCATTGCTTTTTTCAGATAGTTGTATACTTCATTTAAATAAACTTCTAAACTTAATCTACGCTTTTCTACAAAAGCTTCACATTTATTTCCAATAAGCTTCTTTGGTGGCAATATATCCTTCTTAACATAATTCTCTGAGACAAGTTTATCGTGAAGTTCAGCAAAATCATTATATCTATAAAAATACAAATATAAGTATATCAAATTTATTTTTTACTTCAAATATTGATTTATGATATAATTTCATAATTTTTCATAAGTAAATGAAAATAATATATGAAAAAAACTCTATAATAAAGCAATCATTAAAGATTTATTAAGAAAGAAATATAAATATAAGTTTGATTAAATAAATATCATATATATTTAATGTTTATTTTTTAGCAATAAATTTTGAACAATGTAAAAATAATTTATCACATTCATTTTTTAAAATATGCATAATTTTGTATATAAAATAAAAATTTTAGATAGGTATATCAAATAATATAATTAAATAATTTTTGATAAAATATTGAATAGGCGGGGAATAGATAGATAGATTAAAATATTTATCAAGATAAGAAATGAAAAATAAAAACTTGCTCACGATGAATCAGAAATTTACCTGTGCTTCACAGTCCATTTGATTGAAGCAATCCTAACCTCGATGCAATAATAAGTAATACCTTCGACAGTGTCAGCTGATGGAATTTTAATGTGCACATTTTCTTGATTCAACAAAAGACATGCCATTCTTTCAAAATGTTTTGGCAATCGTCGAATATAGACGTGACAAAAATTGGTAGTCGATTGGACCAAGAGGTTATCCCGGATCGAGACGAGAGCTGTCAATATCAACTGTTTTATATCAGAGGGAGGGATGTCTCTTATCCATTTGGTGCATTGTGTACTCTTCTCAAACCTACCGCGCTGCTTTTTTTAGTGGTCCTTTGCTCAGAATGAAATAAAATGTTAGTATATGAATGTTCATGTTTAATGTGCAGTATACTTGGCAGAAAAACTTACACTGTGCTACCACCTCGCGCTCGAATTAAGAAAAGTACTGACCTGAAACAGATTGTACGCTCCGCTATTCTTTGTAACAGAGGTGCTCAGATTCATTATTATCAAATATTTTTTTTAATTGTATCATTGTTATATTATTCATAATTTTTATAATATTAGTATTAGTATAGATAAGTATTAATTAAAATTTTTTATGTAATTGAAAATGTTTTTTATTATTTTATTATTATATTATAATTTTATTGATTATATTAGGATTTTTTTTTATATTTTTTAAATATATTACGTCAATCTATATATATTAGATTATATTATAAACATTAAATTATCAATAATTTATTAAATAAATTATTAAAAAAAATATGTATGAACATAATTTGCACTAAAATGAATAATATAATATATAAATTAATCTTGTTTTATATATTAAATTAATCGCTGTTTAATGTGTTTCATGATTCACAATATTATTGATAAACAAATTACTGATAAGAGAGATTAAATATTCACTTTCATTATCACTTCTAAAGCAATATGTTTTTTTATTTTCAAT